TGACATTCAGTGTGCAGGTGAAAATGAGGCCGGAAGAAGAGCTCTTCATCGAGGTGCATGAAGAGTGCTCGGGAGCTGTGCTTGCCCCGTGCTTTTCCAGCCTTCATTAAGGATTGTCGTGGTGGGCTGTGATGGGTTTGAGGTCCCAAATGAGAGACTCGCCTGGGTTGTTTGTACTCTTTGGAGCGTGTTTGCACAGCTGTCCAAGTACCTGGGGCTTGGGCTTGTGTTTCCGAGGGTGGAGGATTCTGTTGTGATGTAGCAGAGCTGTTTGTTGCCGTACGATTGCCTTGCTGTGTTATGTGCTGGGTCCTTGGGAGGACTGGAGGCTGAAGAGTGTGGTCTTCTTCCAGAAGGGAAGGGGAGGTGCAGGGGCAGTCTGTCTGTCTTGCATAGACCAGAAGAAAGCAGGAAGGTTGTTGCCTGTCCGGATGGATGGAAGGCAGGAGGGAAAATGAATGCGAGCTCTTGCCAAAGGGCATGTCCGTGCTTCATGCCGAGCATGGTGCAGCCATCTAGAAAATACTTTGGTAAAGGGGGAAAAGAAGAGAAGAGGCAAGGATGGAAGCAGAAAAGAAGGGGAGGCAAGGATACGGCAGGGCAGGCAAAGAAGAAAAAAGAGAAGGAAAAGAAGGAGGAAAGAGAAAAAAGATGAAGAGAAACGCAGAGATGAAGAAGGAAGAAGGAGGAGAAAACGAACGAGAAAGGAAGCAGGAAATGAAGAAGGAATGCAAGAGAGGAATATGGAAAGGAAGGACTCTATGCAAGGAAACAGCAAGAAAAGATGAAAGAAAGAAGGAAGAGGAGGGAAGGGAGGAAGGAAGAGACGATAGCCGAGATTACCAGGCTGCCCCGATGTTATCTCTACATGCTGAATGGAGTTGAGGACGTCGGCATCATCGGTACTGAGAGACGCTGTGGAAGGCTTGATGAAAAGCGGTGAGGAAGAGGGAAGAGCTTTTGCCTGAGGGCCTGTCCGTGCTCCATGGCGAGAGTGATGTGGTCCTGCAGCAAACACGTTGGTAAAGGAGACGAGGAAGAGGCGAAGAGGGAAGAAGAAGAGAAGGGGAGGGAAGGACAGGGAAGAGAAGGAAGAAGAGGAGGGAGGAAAGGAAAGGAAAGGAAAGGAAAGGAAAGGAAAGGAAAGGAAAGGAAAGGAAAGGAAAGGAAAGGAAAGGAAAGGAAAGGAAAGGAAAGGAAAGGAAAGGAAAGGAAAGGAAAGGAAAGGAAAGGAAAGGAAAGGAAAGGAAAGGAAAGGAAAGGAAAGGAAAGGAAAGGAAAGGAAAGGAAAGGAAAGGAAAGGAAAGGAAAGGAAAGGAAAGGAAAGG